ATATATATATATATATATATATATATATATATATATATATATATATATATATATGTATGTATGCATGTATGTATTTTTTATTCTTTTAGATTTTGGATTTAATATTTTCTTCGTACAGTAGTGATAGCAATAGAGTATAAAGAATATTATATTTGAAAATAGAATAAATTTGAGCCGATGAAAAGCCAACAAAATATTACACGTGTGATTGATATCAAAATCGATAAGTTAAAGCAAAGCTAACTTAGCTAGGGTTGCTTATCGGGCGGATCGGGCGGATAATTACGCTTAACGATTTGATTTATCGGTTAATCAGATTATAAATGTATTAATCCGCTAGCTATCCAATAAGACAATGGGCGGATTAGTATCGGATTAACTATTATCGGGCAGTTTATCGTCTAAACTAAATAAAAACTGTTTGAACAATCAAATACCAAATGGCCATAGTAAGATGACATGCCAATGCTTTCAGACTAATATTAGATTCAAATTCAAAGTCTGTCTTGTTAATCTAATAGTAGTATTTTTGAAGAGTCGTCTTCCAATCTAGGACATACAAGAACTACCGATAAGGAAGACATAACATATACCACCTAATTTGTGCAATGAACATAGTTCTAGTTCATTGCATTGTACAAAATCTAGATGAGCATCCTAAACATGAAGAAAACTAGCTTCATCCATCTTAGTACAACTTTGCCTAACTTTACTATGCTACAATATATGCTAAATATAAAAATTCTTAAGGGGTTAACGGTTTACCCGATAAGAAAATTGAGTAATCCGTTCCCAAACCGTTAAGCCATTAATAATAAAATTTCAATCTGTTCACTATCCATTACTCCGGTAATTCGATACCACTAATCCAATAAGTCATTTATTCGATTCGGTTAACGATATCGGTTCAGTTTTGAACCGCCCTAAACATAGCTGATAATATGGCAGGGAGTACTCTTCTAAAGAAAACAATGAAGTTAAATTAAAAAAAATAATAATAAAATAAAATTGGAAGGGACATCCTTCATACATTCATATTAGCGTGAGTTAGTTTATTTATACAAGTCTTCATCTATATGTGTATTATTTCCAGTTATTTTCTTTTCTTGTGAATTCTAACATTAAAAAAGCTATTTTGGTCCACCAAAAAACATGCATTAAAGCTAGACCAATGATTTTAAACTTTTACGATTAAATTTGAATCCTTGTGGAATTAACTTGAGTGATTAAGGAGCTAAGGAAAATTTTTGGTCCTTTCATTTTGCTTTCACTCAGCTGATTTATTAATATTCAAAGTAGCAAGTTTTTAGCTGAAATTAATTTCTCAGATAAAGGAAAAATTCAAATATTAGAATTTTATCTACACAAGTATTTTTAAGGAATAATTTAATCCTCATAGGATTATAGAGCGATATCTTATTATTTGCTTTGGAAAATTGATCAGCTAGAGTTTTTATAAATTTGTGATTCATGGATTCTAGAGAATAGATTATTTAGTATAAAATTAGTACGTTAATAAATATTTTCCGTATTTTAAATACTCCTATCTTAAGTTATTTAAACAAAATAAATTATTATTCATTAATTTAAATATAAATTTCTACTAAATTAAATCATTTAAAAGTAAAATGCAAGTACTCTAATTAAGACGATATGGTCGTTATTACAAAAATTATTTAAGACGAGATGGTGCCAAATAAGTAGGAAAAGAGGACTATTCCATTGTTAAAGAATCATTAATCTGAACGTGTAAGTATATTATACACAATTGCTTTTCAGTTTTCACCTTATATCCAAAACCCTCTAAAACCGTTTTCCTCTCTTCTTTGTCAAGACTAGCTAGGCTGTACAAATCCCCAGTTCTCTCTGTCGATCACAAAGTCCTTTCTTCATCTTCAACCTCCGGCCACTTCCCGGCTAAAATGCCGCCGTCTAAAGGCAAAGGAAAGGGGAAAAAGAAAGGTAAAGGGAACTCGAAAAAAACAAAAAACAGAGCTCCAGACGCAACATGCAACTGCATTTTCCCAAGAGAAATCATCATTAATATCCTTTCTCGTCTCCCTGTGAAGACCCTTTTACAATTCAGGTGCGTTTGCAAGCCATGGCGAAAACTCATTTCCAAACCCAACTTCGTAGCCACCCATTTCCGCCATTCCTCTTCTTTGCAGCCCATTACCGGTTCTTCACCCATTCTTTTACACACTCGCCATCTCGAGTCCGCTGATCATCTACTCTCACTAATCAACCTGTCCCCCGAGTCATCATCAGTTGTGGAACTTGATAACCCTTTCCCTTTCTTCTTGCAAAGTATGGTGGTTGTGGGTTCTTGCAATGGCATTGTGTGCCTTTGTCAGCCACCTTGGGGTGATGTCATTACTCTTTGGAACCCAGCTATGAGGCAGTCTAGGACTCTGCCGCTTTCGAAACGCAAACCCATTATGGGAACGCACTCTTGTGTTTCCATCGGGTTGGCGTACGATTCACAAGAGAATGACTTCTTGGTCTTGAGTCTTAAGAGTTTCGGACCAGAAACTATGATTGCGGATGAAGTGGAAATGTTTTCAACCAAGAGTTTCAGCTGGCAGAGGGTGCCAAATGAGGTGGGGTTTCGAGTTCTTGGGCTTTCTTGCAATCTGATTATTAAAGGGGTGCCTTATTGGACTGCTCTGCTTGAGGATGCGCATGGGTCACGTGAGGTATTGGTGTGTTTTGATGTGAGTAAGAAAGTATTTGACAAGTTACCTATGCCTGGAGTGAGACTGGAGATTCAGGGGTATCTTGTGAATTTGGAGGATTCTCTTGGTATATTAATGTGGGATAAAACAGACAAATATAATGTTGAAATTTGGGTAATGGATGATGAAGATGGTTGGAGCAAGAAATGCAATGTTGAAATGTTATTCGGGTTCAACAGAATTATTGGCTGTTTGAGGAATGGTAATATTGTTGCTGAGGATGAGAATGGCGTGTTGTTCCTCTTTGATCCGGTGACTAGTTCTGTTAAGGCAAAATTGTGCATCGATAATGCTGATAGCAGTTCGTCCATGATTTTCAACTATTCAGAGAGCTTAGTTCTGATTGGAGGGATGCTACCAGTTAAGAAGCAAGCTGCTAGAGGTAAATTAGCACGTGAAAATCTCCTAAAGTGCGGTGATCAACTTTTGTCTTTTCAATTATATCTTAAGTTACTATGTGCTTGCTTTGTGTTGATTGTCAAGTCTGATCCCACTTTGAGATGTTGCACTTTTGCTTTGTTCTTATCCTTATGTGCTTATGTGTATGTTATGGGCACCTGGTGAAACAAAGCAGATTGATTGTGAATCTGTGATGCATTAATTTACTACGTGAACTAACTCTGTGATCATTTTTACTTAACTCTACACAATTAGTGGAGATGCTTGTCAGTTGCTGCTGTAGTTCTGGAAAGCAAATATGGCCAACTAACAAGTTTTCTTTTCATCTCCCATCTAAGAAAGTATATTTTTGTGAATAGCTTTGTGGTGTGGAATCAGTCACAATATAGATGTCTCTCACTGTATGCAATTCTCTTATTTTCCCAGTCCAATTTTATGGTTAGTCAGCCAAACAACTTCTTGGATTACTAGTTGAAATTGGTGGAAATAAGGGGAATAAATAGAGATGCCACATGATATTGCAACTCAAAATAAGAGAAACTTTCTTTTAGGGTGGCTTACATGTGCACATAGAAGTATGAAAAAAGAGCTAAAATGCTTCCTTTTCGAGTCCCACTTGAAAACTATTTTCTCCCTTTCATGTCTTTCAGAGTGGGAATTGTTTGAAAAGATGTAGGCTTGGCTTCAAAGGTGCATCGTGCGTGTCACCCCATTTATTTTCTGACAATACAAGATCTTCCTTTTTGTCAACAGAAACATTTAAATGATCAGAGAAACTTTTCAGCTTTCGTAGTGTTTGCTTGTTGGAGCATCAGTTGTGTTGAGGTCGATAACCAATGACTTCACTATGAAGAGACAACTAGATCAATAGACATAGTAATATGATTGCTAGATCCTTGAAGTTATATATCTATCTGCAGATATATAAATTTCTATTTGTTGACACTGTAAAACTCTGAGTTAGTTTGTTCCATAAGCATTATAACAATTACTTACTTGTAAGAAAGAGCAGAAAAACATAGTTTCACTGAAATAATGCATTTGGATTGCTGGATATACACTAACTAACAGAACCAAGTCTTCAAAAGAAAAGAAAAACAATAATAAAACCATGTCCGATCCGTGATTGCGACAGTTCTGTTACCTATCTAGTTAATCCAGCCAGAGCATTTGCGCTTTCTGTTTCTGGTGCTCTTTTTCTTGTTTTTGGTGAGTGTTTTCAAAAAAAATCTTCATTCCTGATCCATGAACTTTGATACTTGAATATGCAAGTACAGATGTTTAGTCTTATAGATGTTAGTGTGATGAACTAAAGGTTATAACAATGGAAGGCTTGGCTACTTGTGTCATTGCTAACCATATTGGATGAATGTACACTCTCTTAATGTAGTGCGACACATCCATATCTTTGCTTTTGAATGCTCAAAGATATAGCTTTAGTTTGACAGCCAGTGTAAGAGGTCCTCTCTTCATATGAAAGAATCTTCTTTTCATTTAATTATTTGCTCCTTCAAGTTGCAATCTTTCGGCCTTCTCAGCTTGAATTTCCAGTTTTGTGTTCTAATTGCTTATAAACTTCCTAGTCTTGCTATCCCGTCCTCGTCTTTCCTCCTTGGTTGACTTGTGTCTTGCAGTCTTTTATAAATGAATTGACTTGCCGTAACTTTGGGATCTTATTCTAGACATCATATTCTAAGCTATTTGGTGCATGGCATGAGGAGCATGTTCGTAATGGAAATGAGTGGACCAGGGACTGTAGCAGAGGTGCTTCTGTTTGAAATATAATTTTGATTTTCTAGAAAATATTAGGTTTATGTATTAGCAAATTAGGGTTATGCATTGGACATCTAGAATTTCTAGATACATTATTTATCTTTTAAATCTTTGCTAGTACGTTTGTTTAGTACGTAGAACATTTTCGACTTTATATATCTTTGGAGTATTTTTGATATTTAACTAGTGTTAATGAATGGATGCTATTTGTCGGGAAGCATGCTTTGTTGTAAGATGCTCTATCTTTGTATATACCTAGTCCTAGTGTGCGGGATTTCTCTCTCAAATCAATATAATGTTGACTTGATAGATTAGATATTCGAAGAAACTTACTGACATTATTTTTCTTGATAATGTAGGGCTGGCAGGACCCTCAGAAGCTTGACTTGGCTATATAGAAGACATTTTGGCTGCCCCCTTTTAGCTAACATCAGAGATGGCATGAAAAACTTTTTGACACACTTTTAGTTAGGAAATACTAGCAATGTATGTAGTTCCTCGTCCCTCTGATGTTAGCGTATAATTCGTCTCCGCTACTTTGTATCAGATTGTCAACTATTTTGCACTGATCAACTTGTGCTTGAGTAAGCAATGGTGGGTTTATGTTTGCGTCTAATATGCTCAAGTTATCTTTTTTGCTTCGTAAGGTCTTTCAGTGTGTTCCATGTCAGTGTCTTCACTCAATTTTTGTTCCTTCCCATAAGTAATTTTCTTTTTGATTCATAATTCTTTCCAAATGTGGACTGTGGTGCGACTTGAATGTTCTTTTTGGTTTATAATTCTTTGCATATGTGTACTCGGGTGCGACTTGAATGGAGTTTTTAAATAGAAAGATTATTAGGGTAGGGGTAATATTTGTATACACATTATTCTCCACAGACCCTACTTGTTCGATTATACTAGGTCTATTGTTGTTGTTTTAAAAAAGAAAATAATACTTTTGACATATAAACTAAATCTACATAACATACCAAAGATCCACTTAATATGTTGTGGGCATATAGATGTCATGCCATTCACTAAAACTAAAGATAGTTTTGAAATAGAGAAAGATGCTTATCTTCTTTAAACGGATTAAAAAGAAAACTATGTAATATAAAATGAAACAAAAAGATTATATTGTAAAGCCAGAGTCATTGATCAACCAAATCTCGTGTTAACCTTACAAATTTAATATAATTACAGTGTTACTAATAAATTGTCTCAGTTGATTATATTTCAGTCAGGCACAAACCTCATCACGTGTGAACAACCTGGGTTAGATGAGAATAACAACAATCGCAAATTTCATAAATATAAACTTGTATAAAGACAAATTTTTATATCCACGCGTTGGCGTGAAACTTACCAACGAAGCCAAGCTGAAATATATATCAGCAAACCGTCAGCGCACCACAAATCAAAGACCGCAAAATCGCCGATCACACCGCCACGACGATCCGATTCTGTCAATTGGTGTCAGCAACAATACGACTTCGCTTTGATCCCGAAACCCTAACCCGTTGCTCGATCTCTATCCCGGTGGAAAGGATGAGCGAAGAAGGCGGGAAAAACAGGGCCTCTCCGGCCACCGGCGAACCGTTGCCGCCAAACTATTACTACGGTACGTTTCAAGGAGTGGCCAATCATCCGCCTCCTCCTCCTCCACAGTCTCAGCCGGTGTTTGGTTTTCCTCAGCCCATTCCTCCGCCTGGTGCCTCCGGCGCTCCTCCTCATTACTATCCTCATGGTTATCAAACTGTTCACGGTGTGTTTTTCCACATCTTCATCTATCTACTGGGGCTTCCATAATTTTTTCTTTTATGTTTGTTGATAATTCTGTTTGTTTCTCTGTTTTGAACATTTCATGGAATAAAATCTCAGTATGATGCTTGATGAATATTCAGAATACTGATTGCCGAAACTAGCCAATTCTATTAATGGGTCTATTGTGAAACATTAATGTTGATACCAGCAATATTATTCACGATTTTAGTATCTTTGTAAACACAGGCTTATTGTGATAGGATGCAGATACTTTCAATTATAAAAAAGTTGTATTTTGTGCATAATTTCATCTGTAAATTCATCTATAACTTTGTAGGTTGATTAACTCCTTGTTTTTAAGTATGTATATTTGCAGTCTCGACAAATCTGCAGATTTGTGGGTTTAAGTTTTATATCCGGTTGAACATCTAGTGGTGGAGAGTGGTCATGTTGTATTGAAGGATGTAGTGAAAGGAATTTCGCAATCGGGTTCTCTGAGTTTCTCTGTTAGTTTATTGTTAGTAATAGGAGATGTGGTTGATCATGGAAGGATTGATTGATATTAGCTGTTGAAAGGCTTCTTTTTCCTTCAATCATGCTATTTTGATTTTCCATCTTAGCATATTTAAAGCTTGTTGAATCCTTAATCAATGGATTCTGACTTTAGATTTTGTATGTGTGATTGCAAACTTTCTTAAAGCAATCAGAAGTTGTAAAAGTGGAGTTGAAATGTTATGGTTAACTTACACGTGAAAGAATGGTAAACTAGTTATGTATCTTGTCTCGGAAAATCTCAGGAATTGCAATCTAGAAAATGCTTTCTAAATCTTATTGTTCTAACTGGGCTGAATAACAGATATTTGCTTTTCAAAAATTATTTTAATGTTAGAGGTTATATATGTTTAATATGTTGCTTCACTGTGGTTTAGGTTATGCTGTTGCCGAAGGTAGACCTGTAAGGGAGTACCGGCTTCCTTGCTGTGGCATGGGGATTGGCTGGTTCTTGTAAGTTCCTATTGTTGTACTTTTTCTTGTGCTCAAATTTTTTTTTTCCGGTTATAAATCGTGGTTAGATTGATAAAAAGTGATACATGGAATCCTACTCAGCGTTTCTTATTATTTAGAGCTTTCCCATTATCGTATTCAGAGTTTTAACTTTTTTTAAAAATAAAGATGGGTAGGTTAGTTGGGGAAACAATGTGAAGCACACCAAATTAACAACTCAGCAATATCAAATCCTGATGTGATAGTTGCTAAGGGCTTTGCCTTTTTCTGATGTTTCTATGACCAGATTTTCATAAACTCAATTTTATGATTCATGTACGATTGACTAAAGATTTCAATGCTGGCTTACTTTCTAATATTTTGGTGACTTTGTTTGCAAGGTTCATCTCTGGTTTCTTTCTTGGTACTGTTCCTTGGTATATTGGAGCTTTTCTTCTTCTGTGTGTGCGGATTGATTACAGAGAAAAGCCTGGACTTATAGCATGCACATTGGGGGTAAGTCTCTCTCTCTCTCTCTCTCTCTCTCTCTCTCTCTCTCTCTCTCTCTTATAGCATGCAATTGTACGGTGGATGATATTCCCTTCGTCATTAATTCTTGGGTACCATGTGTTTTCGTCAGAGTCATGTTGGCAAATATTGTTGGGGTAAAATCACACAAATTGCTCAGTTGACTGGGTTTAGGACATAAAGACTTTTGACACATATTGAAAGTTCTTTTAAAACTTGTGGTCTTAAACATGTTATGACATTTCTACGGTTATAAGAACATGTCATTATTGGTAAATTGGAAATTTGAAGTTAAGTTTTCCAAAATATCCAATATCATCCTTTTTGGAAGACTAAAAAAGAAAAAGTGTTGTATAAATTGGAACAGAGGTGTAACCATTTTTTTATATGAAGAATGGAACAGAGGGAGTAATAAAATTTGGTTTTGGCAGCTATACATTTGGAAAAAGAATAAACTCTCTTGTACGTCCAGTATATGTGGACTTGATATTGGATAACTATATTTATTACACCATGTAAGTGCTTACCATGATTTTACCTCATTTGACTTGGATATCCTTTTCTATTGCTATTTACCTTATTCTAGAGAGGGCATAAATGTATATTATAGCTTGGATTTCTACGAGCGTATATTAGAGGAACATTAGAAGGATTGAGCAATTAGACTAGGTTGAGAAGTGGACTAAATTTGGGTAGCCAATTGTAAAACCACTTTTAAACCCCGCTTTTTTTGGCCCAATTGCTTTTAGCCCTTTTCATGTCGACATGTTTTCAATCTGCTAGATTTGGCCAAATCATCAAATCATTGTTCCTTTCTGCCTCCAAGGAAGCACGTCTTAAAAAATATTCAACAATAACCTTGATTTTTGGTGCTGTCAAAGTCCTAATCTAACTCTTGCATGAGTTTTTGGCTTTATATATTTATTATGTAACATTTCCTTCTAGTGCCGACTGGTATTCAGGAAAGCTCGGGCTAGTTCCTTTAAAGAGGTCTTATATTTATCTTGTTCGGTCTTATTCAGATCGTGGATTTGAATCCAAGTAATGTGCAGTTCAGTTCTCCAATTTTAAATTGGTCTGAATTCCTAGGTGACGCTTAAAAGCCTTCCATATAAGCAAATAAGCAGTCCTGCACTGGTACTCTTGTACACTTTGTTGTTCTGCTGAATACTCAAGTAATCTGTTTTATGGTTGCAATTAGTCAAGCATATCTTTACTGTTTACAGGTTAAACACACTATTTGGTAATACCCAACTTGAATTTTAAGAAGGAATAATATACGAGGAGTTGATGTATGCTCTTTTATATGCTACAAAGATACATTACGCCTTCCCTCCTTTGTTTGGATTTGGAGGTAGATGGGGATGGAGGGGAAGGAAACAAATAGGGGGGTAGATAAGTTCATGGATAGATGAGTGCTTGTTATTACTGCCCCAAGCGGTTGTAGCTATGCACTAATTAGTTTACTGATTTCTGCAGTACTCAATGGAGCAAAGTATCAGCATTGTCACTCCATTACTTTATTATTTCTCAATTTCTTTGCTGTGACAATGTCAGCCGCTGACTATGTTTATCTTTTTGATAATCAGGCCATGCTTGCTTTAATTGCTGTGACTTTTGGTGTGACAAAGGCAACTCATTCCTGGTGAGGCTATCCAGGCTGCAAAATGTAACTTATAGTGGATCTC